GAATGCATGGGGAGTTTGGAACCAAGTGTGAGAGTAATGGTGGTTGGGGATTTCAATGCTAAGTGGGCAAAAAAGTTGTGGAGGGAGTAGTAGGGAAATTTTGGGTGCCAGGGGTAAATAAAAATGGGGAGCCTTTAATTGAGCTATGTGTAGAAAGAGGTTTGGTAATAAGTACTGTAATACATATTTTATGAAGAAGAGGATAAATAAATATACAAGGTATGATATAGCACGTAATGAAAGTAGTTTGTTAGATTATGTATTGGTGGATAAAAGGTTGATGGGTAGGCTCCAGGATGTACACATTTATAGAGGGGCAACTAATATATTGGATCATTATTTAGTTGTAACTACAGTTACAGTAAGAGGTAGATGGGAAAAGAGGAAAATGGCAACAACAAGTAAGAGGGAGGTGAAAGTGTATAAACTAAGGGAGGAGGAAGTTCGGGTGAGATATAAGCAACTATGGGCAGAAAGGTGGGCTGGTGCAAGTATGAGTAGTGGGGGGAGTTGAAGAGGGTTGGAATAGTTTTAAAAATGCAGAAGTATTAGAATGTGGGGCAGAAGTTTGTGGTTATAAGAGGGTGGGTGCAAGAGGAAAGAGGAGTGATTGGTGGAATGATGAAGTAAAGGATGTGATAAAAGAGAAAAAGTTAGCTTATGAGAGGTTTTTACAAAGCAGAAGTGTTATAAGAAGAGTAGAGTATATGGAAAGTAAAAGAAAGGTGAAGAGAGTGGTGAGACAGTGCAAAAGGAGAGCAGATGATAGAGTGGGAGAGGCACTGTCAAGAAATTTTAATGAAAATAAGAAAATTTTTTTGGAGTTAAACAAGTTAAGAAAGCCTAGGGAATGAATGGATTTGTCAGTTAAAAACAGAGTAGGGGAGTTAGTAGATGGGGAGATGGAGGTAGTGGGTAGATGGCGAGAATATTTTGAGGAACTTTTAAATATCGACGAAGAAAGGGAGGCAGTAATTTCATGCACTGGCGAGGGAGGTATACCATCTTTTAGGAGTGAAGAACAGGATGTGAGTATGGGGGAGGTGTGTGAGGCATTACGTAGAATGAAAAGGGTTAAAGCAGCTGGAACTGACGGGATCATGACAGAAATGTTAAAAGCAGAGGGGGATATAGTGTTGGAGTGGTTGGTATTTTTGTTTAATAAATGTATGAAAGAGGGGAAGGTACCTAGGGATTGGTGGAGAGCATGTATAGTCCCTTTATATAAAGGGAAGGGGGACACAAGAGATTGTAAAAATTATATAGGAATAAGTTTACTGAGTATACCAGGAAAAGTGTATGGTAGGGTTATAATTGAAAGAATTAGAGGTAAGACAGAATGTAGGATTGCGGATGAGCAAGAAGGTTTTAGAGTGGGTAGGGGATGTGTAGATCAAGTGTTTACATTGAAGCATACATGCGAACAGTATTTAGATAAAGGTAGGAAAGTTTTTATTGCATTTATGGATTTAGAAAAGGCATATGATAGAGTAGACAGGGGAGCAATGTAGCAGATGTTGCAAGTACAGTGAACCCCCGGCATTCGATGGCATCGGTATATGTTAAATCCAGTATACGATACATTTTAAAGCAAAAATTTTGCCTCGCCACTCGTTAAAAAACCCGCCACACGCAATTTGTCCGGGACGCGTCCACGTGTGGTCTGAACTGCCCCGTGTAAGTAAGTAAGTAAGTTTATTCAGGTATACACAAATACAGTTACATAGAATTATCATACATAGCAGTATATGTGTAGAGAACCTAGGATAACCCAAAAAAGTCAGACAGAGTGACTTATTTCCATTGGGGTCCTTTTACCTTATTATTATAATATAAAGGTTATAATATTTTCTTATTATTCTATAATGAAGATAACATCTTCAGTGTTTACAAGCCAGCCAGTGTGCTCACATCTAAGCATACATTCGGTACATTCTATATTATCACAGTGTTTTTGGTGCTTGTTTCTGCAAAATAAGTCACCATGGGCCCCAAGAAAGTTTCTAGTGCCAACCCTGTGGTAAAAAGGGTGAGAATTAGTATGGAAATTAAGAAAGATTTTGAAGGGTTTGGGGCTAACCCTAAGAAGCCTGTGCCAGTTGTGGAATCCATTGTGCCTACCTCAAAAATTAAGGAAATGTGTGCAAAGTGGGTTGAACTGCAAACTTTTATGGATGAAAATCACCCTAACACAGCTATTGCAAGCCGTGCTGGTGACTATTACAATGACAATGTTGTGGCCCATTTTAGACAAATCTTAAAGGAACGGGAGGTACAGACCTCTATGGACAGATTTGTTGTGTGACAGAGGTCCATTGACTCTCAAGCTGGTCCTAGTTGCATGAAAAGAAGAAGGGAAGTAACCCTGGAAAAGGACTTGCTACTTCAAGTGCTAATGGAAGGGGATTGCCCTTCTAAACATTAACAACTTCGACACTCTCCCCTCCTCCCAGCCCATCAATCATCACCAGATCTTCATTAAAGGTAAGTGCCATGTATTCTATTGTTAGTAGAGTACGTACTACTAACTGTGCATGTCTTCTTCAGTTTGTGTGCATTAAACTTAATATTTCATGTGGTAAAACTTTTTTTTTTGGGTGTCTTGCACAGATTAATTTGATTTCCATTATTTCTTATGGGGAAAATTAATTCGCCTTCTGATAATTTTGGCATACGATGAGCTCTATGGAATAGGTGATAAGTTACTAAATGCTGTAAAGAGTTTATATGAGGATAGTGAGGCTCAGGTTAGGGTGTGTAGAAAACAGGGAGACTACTTCCTGGTAAAAGTAGGTCTTAGACAAGGATGTGTAATGTCACCATGGTTGTTTAATATATTTATAGATGGGGTTGTAAAAGAAGTAAATGCTAGGGTGTTCGGGATAGGGGTGGGATTAAATTATGGGGAATCAAATACAAAATGGGAATTGACATAGTTGCTTTTTGCTGATGATACTGTGCTTACGGGAGAATCTAAAGAAAATTTGCAAAGGTTAGTGGACGAGTCTGGGAGTGTGTGTAAAGGTAGAAAATTGAAAGTGAACATAGAAAAGAGTAAGGTGATGAGGGTATCAAATGATTTAGATAAAGAAAAATTGGATATCAAATTGGGGAGGAGGAGTATGGAAGATGTGAATGTTTTCAGATATTTGGGAGTTGACATGTCGGCAGATGGATTTATGAAGGATGAGGTTAATCATAGAATTGATGAGGGAAAAGAGGCAAGTGGTGCATTGAGGTATATGTGGAGACAAAAAAAAGTTATCTATGGAGGCAAAGAAGGGAATGTATGAAAGCATAGTAGCACCAACACTCTTATATGGGTGTGAAGCTTGGGTTGTAAATGCAGCAGTGAGGAGGTGGTTGGAGGCAGTGGAAATGTCCTGTCTAAGGGCAATGTGTGGTGCAAATATTGTGCAGAAAATTCAGAATGTGGAAATTAGGAGAAGGTGTGAAGTTAATAAAAGTATTAGTCAGGGGGCTGAAGAGGGTTTGTTGAGGTGGTTTGGTCATTTAGAGAGAATGGGTCAAAGTAGAATGACATAGAGAGTGTATAAATCTGTAGGGGAAGGAAGGTGGGGTAGGGGTCATCCTCAAAAAGGTTGGATGGAAGGGGTAAGGGAGGTTTTGTGGGCGAGGGGCTTGGACTTCTAGCAGGCATGCATGAGCGTGTTCGATAGGAGTGAATGGAGACGAATGGTATTTGGGACCTGACGAGCTGTTGGAGTGTGAGCAGGGTAATATTTAGGGAAGGGATTCAGGGAAACCAGTTATTTTTATATAGCCAGACTTGAGTCCTGGAAATGGGAGGTACAATGCCTGCACTCTAAAGGAGGGGTTCGGGATATTGGCAGTTTGGAGGGATATGTTGTGCATCTTTATACGTATATGCTTCTAAACTGTTGTATTCTGAGCACCTCTGCAAAAACAGTGATTATGTGTGAGTGAGGTGAAAGTGTTAAATGATGATGAAAGTATTTTCTTTTTGGGGATTTTCTTTCTTTTTAGATCACCCTGCCTCGGTGGGAGACGGCTGACTTGTTAAAAAAAAGACAAAAGGTACAAACAAAGCCACTAACATGCAGGGGCATTTTGGGCAGACTAATCCTAATGCTTACAGACTACTTAATACTAGTTGGTGGCCCGTGGCCTGGTGGTGAAAGCTTTACATGGTGAGGGTCTGGGTTCAATTTCCGGCAAAGGGTGGAAACATTGGGTGTGTTTTCTCACAACAGTTGACCATGTTCACCTTCAAAGATCACAACGCTGTATCTACCTCATCTGCTAGAAAAATGAGAGGATGGATAATGAGAATCTTCAAAACTAGGGATGCCAAGCCTATGATGATTCCCTTCAAATTGTTTGTTCTCTCTACGCCGGAATACTGCTGCACACTAACTGTCCCCTTCAAGGCAGGCGAAATTGCTCACCTGGAGAATGTACAAAGAACTTTCACAACACATGTAAGTATGATAAAGCGCCTAAATTACTGGGAACGGTTGAAGCCCCTTGATTTGTATTCCCTGGAACACAGGCGAGAAAGATACATGATAATATACACTTCTAAAATCCTAGAGGGATTAGTACCAAACTTGCATGTGAAAATCACTCCCTATGAAAGCAAAAGACCCGGCAAGAGATGCAACATTCCCCCAATGAAAAGCAGGGGCATCACAAGTACACTGAGAGACAACACAATAAGTGTCAGAGGCCCAAGACTGTTCAACTGCCTCCCCTGGCTGGCTGTCTTCAAGAAGGTACTGGACAGGCACCTAAAGTCAGTACCTGACCAGCTGGGCTGTGGTTCGTACGTCGGTTCACATGTGGCCAGCAGTAACAGCCTGGCTGATCAGACCCTGATCCACCATGAGGCCTGGTCACAGACTGAGCCATGGGGGTGTTGACCCCCAAAACCCTCTCCAGGTAAAGCATTAAATAGCTTATTTTTGTTTTTAAAGAAACTTGGATTTGATGTATTTGTGTTACCGAATCTTACTGACCTTTGGTTCCTGAGCAAGTAAGTTGATGACGTTAAGATTTGTTGATCGTTTCTTCCTGTTGTCGTTGCTGTCCATGTTGTGGAAGTGGTACACTGGTGGGTTGGTGAACACCTGCACATAACACCACTGTACTTAATATTTCTAAAAACTAGTCTGACTTTCTTGGGTTATGCTAGGTTCTCTACACATATGCTGGTATGTATGATAATCTATGTAACTGTATTTGTGTATACCTTAGTAAACTTACTTACTAAAATGTCTAAACATAATTTAATAAACAGCCTGGTTGATCAGGCCCTGATCCACTATGAGACCTGGTCACAGACTGGGCCACGGGGGCATTGAGCCCCCGAACCCTATCTAGGTAAAATGCGAGATAATCCTGAAGGAACATGAAAAAACTTGCCTACTAACTGCATTATATTTGGAGTTTCACTCTAAGGGAAATTAACTGATAAACAGGATAGTATGGTAATGATATAAACAGAAAGATGGACAAACACACTGTCATAAAGGCAGTACTGAATAATGTAAGTCATGTAGAAGAGGACACATAAGTACAGTTCAAGACACTGAAAAAATGTTTCACCACAAGTGGTTTTTTCAGTCTTGAAGAAACTACTTGTGGTTAGATGTTTAGTTAATAAATGTCGTGAACTGTATGTATGTCTTTATCAACATGCTGCTATCACCACACTCCTACAGTACCAGTACTGTATAGTGCTGGGCAGTGCCAGTCTTCATGTGAGTGAACATACCACATAAGAGATAACTAGGCATTGCTATTCATTCTGTGAGTATACATACTAACAGAGATTATTGGGCAGCACTGCTCATTTTGTGAGATAAAATACCATAATAAGATTAAATATACCCAAATGTTGCACAAGTGTCTCATTTGTCAATCATAATAAGACAGTATTGGTCATGGTCACTCATTTTCTGAGTGAAACAACTGCTAAAATAACAGTACAGACATGTGTTGCTTAATGACTGGGATATGTTCTGAGAAATGAGTCATTAGGCAATTCTGTTGTGTGAATGTAAGGGAGTGTATTTACACAAACCTAGATGGTATAGCCTACTACACACCTAGGGTACCTGGTTTGTTTTTTCATCATAAGAGTTGCTTGTGAGCAGATAAAGCACGAGATTAAATCAAACACAAGGGAAAATGATGTTATCAAGACATGCAGTAAATATGAGATGTATGAGGCTTCTACTAGTGTAAAATAGCACACTGTTTTAAAGTAAACTTTTTTTTACAAGTAAAAAGAGTACACTCTAGAATAATAATAAAAATTATAGTATAGTAACTATATAAACCAGTAACATAGATCTTTTCTTTCTTTCAACACACCGGCCGTATCCCACCGAGGCGGGGTGGCCCAAAAGGAAAAACGGAAGTTTCTCCTTTTACATTTAGTAATATATACAGGAGAAGAGGTTACTAGCCCCTTGCTCCCGGCATTTTAGTCGCCTCTTACAACACGCATGGCTTACGGAGGAAGAATTCTGTTCCACTTCCCCATGGAGATAAGAGGAAATAAACAAGAATAAGAACTAGAAAGAAAATAGAAGAAAACCCAGAGGGGTGTGTATATATGTGCTTGTACATGTATGTGTAGTGTGACCTAAGTGTAAGTAGAAGTAGCAAGACGTACCTGAAATCTTGCATGTTCATGAGACAGAAAAAAGGACACCAGCAATCCTACCATCATGTAAAACAATTATGTACAGGCTTTCGAGTAACATAGATATTTATTATTATTATCAAGTGTTATGTACTGTACATAACTGTATGTGCTATACTTTTATATGGCTGGCAGTGAAGTATGTTTCTTTACACCAGCATCACCATTGTTGTATATGCAAACTGTCATTGACCAAAGTGTCATTATGTGGCGCATGACTGTACTCAGCAATGCCATTCATCAGTGAAACAAATGCAACAGTACCACTTATCAATATAGTATCATCATAAATGTTGTGCAGCTGAAACTCCAGCAAAAACTATGTTCTCAGTGCTCCACCCTCATCTTAGGGTAAATATATAGAATAGGTTGGTAGGTTAAAGAGGTATAAAGCCTACTGACTATACAAGGGTAATTAAGGCTTCATGTAACCTTTTCACTGCCAGGTTTACTTTAATCCCTATTTTAGGAAGTAAACTCTCAACACACGCATACATATGAAAAACAGTTCAGACTGGGTCTAATAACAAAACAGCAGACAACACAATACATGTTAATACTTACTAATCTAATAAAGAAGCCTAAACAACTGTACTATGGAAGCAGATTTAATGAAATAAAAGGAGATATGAAAAAGACCTGGAAAACCCTCTCTGAAATCCTGGGCTCTAGAAAACTTTCCAGAAACAGAGATATAAAATTTACTAAACTAGATGAACCACAAATCCAGCCTCAGACATACTCAATGTCTTCTCAGCTATAAGAAATAAACTAGCAAGCAAAATCCCAACATCTAATACTCAGGCAAAAGACTACCTCACTGGAAATTACCCAAATACTCTATCTATATCTAGCTCCTACTGAAGTCTCATTCAATAGAAGTCATTAAAAAACAAAACAGGAAAACTAAATAACTTGCCACCACTCGATGTACAAAAAAGCAGCTCATGTGCTGTGGCCCAATACTGCAACTTTGCCTGATGAATCAGCTGCTTCCCATTCACTATCAAAGGAGGTGATCCATCTGAAGTGAACAACTATAGACCTATATCAAACTTGCCATTACTATCTAAAATCTTCGAAAAAATAATACATAAGCACGTTTACTCCTACATAATATCTCACAACACACTAAACCCCTGCCAGTTTGCATATACATACTATGATTGCTTTGGTTCCCAGCCTTGACAAAATTGGCAGCAAGATATTCTGGACACAGTTTGTGAGCAATTTTATAAACTTGATTTAACTTCAGTGGTTTTACTGTGTCAAACATTTACCATATCTAATTGTTGTAATTCATCCTGGCTTACATGTTCTCTTGGACCCAGGTCCAGTATGAATTTTACCATTTTGTTCTGGGTGATTTGCAGTCTATATTTCAGTTTTTTCTGTCAAGGCAGAGTACCATGAAGAGCAAGCATAATCCATACGACATTGTATAAGGGCTAGACATAGGGCCCTACGAGCCTCAGTAGGTAGACACTGTGCTTGTCTGAAGAGCAAATAATTTTAATGTCCAGTGTAATGGGGAATCCATCACTTCAGTTTCCTCAGTAAAATATCTGGGAATCCCCTTTGACCCATGCATATCAGGAGAATTGATAGGGAACAGCGTAGTAAAGACTGCGAATGCCAGACTGAACTTCAGTCTGGCATTCGCAGTCTTTACTACGCTGTTCCCTATCAATTCTCCTGATATGCATGGGTCAAAGGGGATTCCCAGATATTTTACTGAGGAAACTGAAGTGATGGATTCCCCATTACACTGGACATTAAAATTATTTGCCCTTCTCAGTTTTTATTTCATGCCAGAGTATGGCTTCCATTTTCCTGAGGTGTAACGATAGTTTATTGTCTACTAATTTGCTACAGGACTCCAGTTACAGTGTTGCTACATTAGCTATATCTTGTAAATACCTTTGTAACTTGTCATGATTGTGACCAGACCTACCTGGAGTTCATTACCTTTGTAAATTGTGAGTTCATTACCTTTGTAAATTGTGAGTTCATTACCTCTGTAACTTGCTCAGCTATCAAAACTTTGGAGTCCAGTCCCTGGACCAATTATGTACCTCTGTAATCTTTTGACTACCGCCCACAGGATGGGTATGGGGTGCATAATAAACATATTAAACTAACTTGTGGGTCTTTACCTGACACTAACAGAGCACCGTCATCCACATAAAGTAGGAGTTTGCACTTGACACTGATGGGCATGTCGTTTACATAACACAGGAATAATAAGGGGCCCAGAATACTACCTTGGGGAACTCCACATGCTATCGGTAAGTGTTCTGAATCTGTTTTGTTGATTTCGACATTTTATTTCCTGTTGTAAAGATAGGATTTAAACAAGTCTATGGAACCTATGCCAATAGCTTGAAGTGTCTTACATAATATATTGTGGTTGAGAGTATCGAAGGCCTTTTGCAAGTCTAAGGTTACCATTCCTATGAAGTTCCCTATCAACATTTCAGTTCTCATGTAATCCATCAGATTAATTAGGGAGGTGTCGGTTGAATAAGATCTCCTAAAGGCTGGTTTGTAACATCTGTAACTATGAAGAATGTTGTTGTCATTAACCCTTAAACTGTCCAAATGTAGATCTACGTCCACGTGCGTGGGGCTCCGAACGTAGATCTAGGTTTTTTGTTTTATATGCTTTCAAATGGGAAAAATCAAGGTCGGAGCTCTACGCAGGTGAACGTAGATCTACATTTGGACAATTTAAGGTACTTAACTACTTGACAGTATATTGCCCTCTTTAGAATTTTGGATATTACACTGAGTATACCAACAGGCCTATAGCTGTTGACATCAGACCTACTATTTTTCTTGAAGATAGGAGTAACTCTGGCCTCCTTGAACCCCTCTGGTATAGTATTAGTGGTGATAGATAAATATAATATGTGAGCAATGGGGATTGGCAGTACAGAGGCACCATCTTTTAGGAACTTAAACGGGATATTATCTGGGCCAGTGCTCTTAGTTGGGTGTAACCTGCTTAGTTCTTTTAGCATGAAGTCATGAGATACACTTACTAGTCGACAACTGTTCGGGGTTACCCCTTTATTGGTTTAGTATGTTTTAAACTTATCAGTCTGTGCTAAAGGTATTTTTGATGCAGCCTAGCTGAGAAAAATACACCTCTCAATGTATATATCCAGAGTGCATATAGAATAAAAAGCTGAGAAGAGAAAGAGATAATAAAAAATAGAGAGGGGAAAAGTACATCAAGATGTTAGAGAGCTGCCTCCACCTACTTTAGGACAAAACATGAATACAATTTTAGGAACTACAAAATACTGAAGGATCAAAGGGATCATTATTTCTGTACAATGGGAGAATTTTCCTACTTGAAATCAAAGTGTAACTAAAAGTGTAACTAAAAAGTCAAAGTCAATCCTTATCGGGCAGTGTTACTATGTTCTTGATTTATATATGGTATATGGATTGCCCTTAGTGGCAAGACACTATGTAATTATTTATAGAGAACCACAAGGGTCACCAATAACCCTGATGATGCTCTTGATTTATATATTTGTAATAAACGCATAAGATAAACCAGTTCCATATCTATATATATTTTAGTATTATATAGTTCTGGGCCTAATTTAGGTCTACCCAAAATACTGTGCATACTATAGGTTTTTCACAAGCCTACAGAGTGCACAGCATTTTGGGGCCATACTCAGCAGCAGAACACCATAATGGTGAGTATTAGACATGGTAAAATTCTTGCCCTCAGAGGGTAAGACAGTACGCAAAGTAGAAGCTTTGCGGTCCAGTCCCTGGACCCATTATATACCATTATAATCCTTTGACTACCACCCACAGGATGGGTATGAAGTGCATAATAAAGATGTTAAATTATCTAAAGTAGAAAAAAATAACAACTTTTAAAAGAGGTTAAAGTAAAGTGAGAAAATTGAATAAAAATGGACTATAAACTTCATTGCTGAGAAGTGTAATGTAATGAAAAGTAATGAAAATTTGGAGTGAACAAAGAGAACCATGGAAATTACAGATTATAAGATACAACTGGCAGTTTCCCACCAACAAAGCATAAATCAAAGAGGGAAATGTATTAGAAACCTTCAAATCTTGCAAGAAAATAAATTTCATAGCTAAGAAAGAAAGACTGAGGGCACAGGATTCTTATTATTATATTAAGGGGAAGTGCTAAACCTATTGGGGTTATGCAAAACCTGGGGAAATAGGCAATTATGTTCAAATAAAGAAACGGGAGGAAGGTTGAATTCGTTGGATCAAGTGCCTTCCTGGGCATCAAGGAATCTTCCTTGAGGGGTGAAGGCACAGGAAATGTCAACATTGGATGAGATGATGATGACATCATACAGAACAATATCATAAAAACTGAAGAGGAAAATAGGCAAGATTTCTATAAACCATTAATGAAAAACTGTCACAATACTAAACTACAACAATGAATTTGACCAGAGAAAGAAGGGAGGATAAAAGAGAATAAAGAAGAAAATGGAGAATACTAGAGAAAGAAGGGGTAATGGAGGATAAAAAGAAAGACAAGAAGAAGAAAAGAGAAAGATGGGAGGAGCCAGGAGGGACAAGAAGAGATGGCGATGTTGTTGCTGATGAGAAGCATGTTTCATACTTGACGAACATAATGCAGGTTATACTTGTGTGCCAGGTACTTAGCATGGGGCTCGCCACCATCCACCTCCACAGCCAAGTGATCACTCAGCCAAAGCTTGCCATTAATAGCCTCGTCCTGGAAAAAGGATCATGGTTAAGGTGGCAATAGTTTTGCTACATGAGCTATGAAAATTATGGAGTTCTTGCCAGAAAAGACATAACAGACCTTGTGGTATTACCAACATTTGGATTCAGGCCTAATAAAAATACTAATGATGCTATTATACACATGCTAGAACATATATACACTGCAATAGAGAAAAAAGAAGTCCCACTGGGGATCTTCATTGACTTACGTAAAGCTTTTGATACAGTTGACCATGACTTGCTCCACGTAAAATTGTCACACTATGGTATAAGAGGGCACTCCCTCAACTACCTCAAGTCATACCTCAGCAACAGAAGCCAATATGTGTACGCAAATGGGGCAAACTCTTCTGCACAACCAATTACAGTTGGTGTCCCACAGGGAAGTGTCCTTGGCCCTCTTCTCTTTCTCCTATACATAAATGACCTACCAAATGCTTCTCAATTACTCAAACCCACACTATTTGCTGATGACACAACATACGTCTTCTCCCACCCGAGCCCAGTCACGCTAGCCAATACTGTAAATACCGAATTACAGAAAATATCTACCTGGATGAGTACTAAAAACTTACACTAAACATTGACAAAACCTACTTCATTCAGTTTGGAAACAGAGCTACAGATGTCCCTCTTAACATAATGATAAACGGATCACCTATCACAAAGCTAACAGAGGGAAAATTCTTAGGAATCCACATTGATAATAGACTCAAATTTCATACACATATACAACAAATTTCTAAGAAAATTTCCAAGACTGTAGGCATACTATCGAAGATACGGTACTATGCTCCACAGTCAGCCCTCCTGGCCCTATATCACTCTCTTATTTACCCCTATCTCACCTATGGAATTTGTGCATGGGGCTCAACAACAAGTAACCATCTCAGACCACTAATTACCCAACAAAAGGCTGCAGTTAGAATGATAACAAATTCTCACTACAGGCAGCACACTCCACCAATATTCATATACTAAACCTACTCACCATACAAAACATCCATACTTATTACTGCACCTATTACATACATAGAACACTCAACTCTGATATTAACCCTCCCCTCAAACATCTTGCCAACCTCAACAGAACACATGACCATAACACAAGGCACAGATCACTCTTTGATATTCCTCGTGTCCATCTCACGCAATGCAAAAACTCAATGCACATAAAAGGTCCTAAAATCTGGAATTCATTACCTGTAAATATAAAAGAAACACTACCTGTTTATAAATTCAAGTCTCTTCTCAAAGATCACTTACTCACCCAAAACCAAATAAATACTGAATAACTGAACCTTATAAATTGTATATCTTAAATGTTTCTCACAATTATATCACATAAATGTTAAACCTAAAACCCAATCTAACTTTATTATTTTTTAAATACACTACCTAACAGAATACTCCATTCTACTGAATTTACAACAATGCATGCAACCATATGACCTGTCTTTGTAATACTCACTTGTGCTTTATAGTAATCAGTTTACATTAATGTTTTTCACTGATTTCATCATTGCTTAGTTAATCTTAAGTTAATTTTAAGCCAGCCCGTAATGCTATGCATAGTATAAGTGGCTTTGGCATGCTGCTCTTATCTGTATTTTTTTTGTACCTCTGTAAGTGTGCTCAAATTATAAATAAATAAATAAATAAATAAATAAAACAAGAGCAGTGTATCACATACAACTTGCCTCAACCTGTCATGTTAAATACACATATAAATTGTCACAAATAAGACATTGCCTAAATATTTTTTCTCCAACTTTTCAGTTTTATTTCCCTCATAACTTGAGAATGCTTTGTTTGAAAGAAGTCATATTTATTGATGTTGGAATCTGTGTCATAACTGAAGAATGATTCATTTAATTGGCTTCAAAATTTTACCGAGTGTATGTTTTTGTGGAAAATTGCATTTATCTGAATGTAACTAATTATGTACATAACAGTAAATGATAACAAAGATAATTATTATTTATCAATGTTACATAGACAGACATGTAGGAATTTGGGACACCTAGGTCGCAAAAAATGTCCCCCTTCGATACCTACCACTGTCATAACCACAAGTTGCTCTGGACCAATTAATTAAATGAAATATACATACACCAGGAATACTGGTAAATATATAAATTTGTGGACTGTATATTAAAAATAATAAATGGTTATATATATACACAATTACATAACAGAAGGTAAATACCTTACCACCCTTTATATACAAAAAAGCGTCACAAGTGCTATCACCAATCATTGCAACACTCTTTAACAAATCCATTGAATCCTCCACCTTCCCTACAGTTCTCAAAATAGCAAGGGTCACCCCGATCCATAAAGGAGGAGACCAAACAGAGTTGAATAACTATAGGCCAATATCCAATTTACACCCTCTCTCAAAAATCTTCGAAAAATTAATTCATAAACGAATCTACTCCTACCTTATCTCCCAAAACATACTCAACCCCTGCCAATTTGGATTCAGGCCTAATAAAAATACTAATGATGCTATTATACACATGCTAGAACATATATACACTGCAATAGAGAAAAAAGAAGTCCCACTGGGGATCTTCATTGACTTACGTAAAGCTTTTGATACAGTTGACCATGACTTGCTCCACGTAAAATTGTCACACTATGGTATTAGAGGGCACTCCCTCAACTACCTCAAGTCATACCTCAGCAACAGAAGCCAATATGTGTACGCAAATGGGGCAAGCTCTTCCGCACAACCAATTACAGTTGGTGTCCCACAGGGAAGTGTCCTTGGCCCTCTTCTCTTTCTCTTATACATAAATGACCTTCCAAATGCTTCGCAATTACTCAAACCCACACTATTTGCAGATGACACTACATACGTCTTCTCTCACCCGAGCCCAGTCACGCTAGCCAATACTGTAAACATCGAATTACAGAAAATATCTACCTGGATGAGGACTAACAAACTTACATTAAACATTGACAAAACCTACTTCATTCAGTTTGGTAACAGAGCTACAGATGTCCCTCTTAACATAATGATAAACGGATCACCTATCACAAAGCTAACAGAGGGAAAATTCTTAGGAATCCACCTTGATAATAGACTAAATTTCATACACATATACAACAAATTTCTAAGAAAATTTCCAAGACTGTAGGCATACTATCGAAGATACGGTACTATGTTCCACAGTCAGCCCTCCTGGCCCTTTATCACTCTCTTATTTACCCCTATCTCACCTATGGAATTTGTGCATGGGGCTCAACAACAATTAGCCATCTCAGACCACTAATTACCCAAAGGCTGCAGTTAGAATGATAAATTCTCACTACAGGCAGCACACTCCACCAATATTCAAAACACTAAACCTACTCACCATACAAAACATCCATACTTATTACTGCACCTATTACATACATTTGAACACTTAACTCTGATGTTAACCCTCCCCTCAAACATCTCCTTGCCAACCTCAACAGAACACATGACCATAACACAAGGCACAGATCACTCTTTGATGTTCCTCGTGTCCATCTCACGCTATGCAAAAACTCAATGCACATAAAAGGCCCTAAAATCTGGAATTCATTACCTGTAAATATAAAAGAAACACTACCTGTTTATAAATTCAAGTCTCTTCTCAAAGATCACTTACTCACCCAAAACCAAATAAATACTGAATAACTGAACCTTATAAATTGTATATCTTAAATGTTTCTCACAATTATATCACATAAATGTTAAACCTAAAACCCAATCTAACTTTATTATTTTTTAAATACACTACCTAACAGAATACTCCATACGACTGAATGTACAACAATGCATGCAACCATATGACCTGTCTTTGTAATACTCATTTGCTTAGTTAATCTTAAGTTAATTTTAAGCCAGCCCGTAATGCTATGCATATAAGTGGCTTTGGCATGCTGCTCTTACCTGTATTTTTTTGTACCTCTGTATGTATGCTCAAATTAATAAATAATAAATAAATAAATAAATAAATTATACTTCTCTTGCATCTGATTAATTTCAGCGACTGTTTTGTACGTACAAAATTTTACTGTTTCCATTACGAATCCATTGTAAGGATACCTCATTATCAGACCAAATTACAGTGTCGCTAATATTTATCTCCTGCAACTTATTTCTTATATAATTAGCTAATTTGACACCTACATAAATGGCTGTTAATTCCAACTGAGGTAAGGTACGTGATTTAATTGGAGACACTTTAGCCTTAGACATAACAAGAGAAATAACACTATTACATTGAAGGTAAGCAACTGCTCCATATGTCAATTTTGAAGCATCACAAAAAATGTGGAGTACATTTTTCCCATTTGGATTGGCCACCTGGCGTGGGAACTCCAACATTGGAATTTTTTCATAACCACCAATTAATTCATCCCACCTGTTAATGAATTCCTCAGGTAGAATTTCATCCCAAGCACATATAAGTTTCCATGCTTCCTGAATTAATAATTTCCCTCTTATAGTAAGGGGTGACACTAAACCTAGTGGATCAAAACATTTGGAAACTTCAGCAAGCAAAATTCTCTTAGTTAATTTATTGGGCATACTGTAATTATTAGGTTTTAACTTAACAAATCCTCTCATACCCCAAATTTTAAAACCCAATACATTACTATTTTTTGGGCATTTTCCACTCGGGTAATTTTTACTTATTTTGTCCTTAAATTTTTGGAGAATTATATTCCATTTTTAAAGGGGAAATTTTTTGCACTTTGCTTTATTTTATTAGCCTCCCCATAATCTTAACAGTTCCTCTTCATTTGACTCACCCCCAAGAAATTGTCCACTAAAATTGTTTGTCATTACTTACTCATGGACTTCCCGACATTTAAGGTGTGCATTATCGTCGTTTGAAGGGGGATTGGATTTTGATGTACCCCAAAAAATACGCTCCTAAAGCAAAAGGGTTTTCAAGGGCTAATGGGTCACCAGGATTCTCAGGCCATAAAAAGTGGTACATCCCG